TTTAGATTTCTCCTGTAAATATTGAATATGTTGATTATTGAGTGTAGTTTCTCTGGTTCCTTTAAAGCAAGCAAAAAGCAGATGACAAGAGTTTGGGAAACCTTTTGACTTGTGCAGGTATAGCACTGTTCCCTCTAATGTTTAATTGTGGTCATACTTGTGCTAACATACTCCAAAGTAGTGAGCATTCTTCTCTTTTACTATTAGTGACTGAATAAAACTCTATTTTTAATATCCATGGTATCATACTCCCATAAGGATTTTAAGATGCTTTATATTAATATTGTTATAATTAGTTTGAAGAGTCTTATTTAAATATGACTTGTTTTTATTATTTTTAAATTAACATACATATAAAAGCATTCTTACATATCAGGGACCACATGATGTTTCATTACCCATATATATTGTATAATATCCAGAGTCAACATAGTTACACTTTCAAGTATTTAACATTTCTTTATAGTGAAAGTTTACCAAATCCTATTTTCTAAGTTTTTTAGATAGAAAAGTATACAGTTTATTAACACTATTTATAATTACTACACTGTGGAATAGAATCCCCAGTCTTCTTACTCCTTTCTAGCTATGAGTATGTACCCATCAATCAATCTCTTCTAATCCCTCGATTCCCAAATCCCTCCCCAGCCTCTGGCATCCACCATTTTTTAAAAAAGATTTATTTCACTTATTTGAAAGGCAGAGTTACAGAGAGAGAGAGAGAGCAAAAGAGAGAGAGACAGAGAGTCCATCCACTGTTTCACTCCCCACATAGCCCCAACAGCCAATGCTAGGCAGGCTGAAGCCAGGAGTTGGGAGCTTCATCCAGGACTCCTAAGCACTGGGGCCATCTTCTGCTGCTTTTAGCAGGTGCATTAGCACCCCAGATTTCAACCAGTGTTCATATGGGATTCTCACGTTGAGGGTGGCAGCCCAACCTGCTCTGCCACAGTGCCGGCCTCTACCACTGTATTTTTAACTTTATGAGATCCTGTATTTTTGGACTCCTCCTAGGACTGAGATCATTGGTGGTTATCTTTCTGTTTGGGGCCTATTTCACTTAATGTTAGTGACTTCCAATTCCATTCATGTTGTTGCAGATGACAAAATTTCATCTTTTTATGGCTTAGTAATATTCCATTGTGGATATATACCACATTTTCTGTATCCATTCATCGGTGGATACATACATACGTTGTCCAGTGCTGTGATAAACATGGGGAGCAGATGTCTCTTTGGCATATGGATTTCATTTCTCTTGGATATATGCCCAGGGATAGGATTGTTGGATCATATATTGTAGATCTATTTTATGTTAAATGTACTTCCTGTCTTATAGGTTTTTTTTTTTAAACAGATTTATTTATTTATTGGAAAGTCAAAATTACAGAGAGGGAGGGAGGGAGGAGAGAGAGAGAGTGAATGAATGAGGTCTTCCATCCACTGACTCACTCCCCAACTGGCCACAACTGCTGGAGCTGGGCCAGACCAAAGTAGGAGTCAAGAGCTTCTTTTGGATCTCCCACATGGGTACAGGGGCCCAAGCACTTGGGCCATCCTATGCTGCTTTCCCAGGTGCAATAGCAGGGAGCTGGATAGGAGGTGGACTCACATGGGCGCCCATGTGGGATTCCGGCACTGCAGATGGCGGCTTTACGGGCTGCGCCACAGCACTGGCCCCTGTCTTACACTTTTGATACACATCTGAAGCAGGCAGTTGTTCTCAAGAAATGAAGACAAATTTTATTCATATGCGAAATAAAAAGAACTCATAAACTAATCTCTGATCCCCTTAAGACAAAAACTTGTACACATTTTTAAATAATCCAGCATTTTCATGCATTTCCCTTTCCAGAAGTGTTAGGCATCTGTAAATGAACTTGAACATTAGAACTACCCTCACTGTGGAATACCTATCAGACATCTTGAGCCTATAGGTGCAAGAAAAGAAAATGTCAAATTTGGAATTAATTTTGAGCACTTTATACACTTAAAACCCATAATGTATTTAGTATATTGCACCTTAACCTTTGCACACTTACTGTTTTGTATGCACTTAGATATATTAATATGCAAGTAATACATAATATATATGGAGTACCCTTCTACATAAACTGCAATTTGAATCTGGTTTGTAACAACCCATTAGCACTTTTTCCTTAACCTAGCAGTTGTGTTGCAATACTTTCATGCTTTCCACAAAGTATGATTTCAGTTTTTTACCTAGAAAGTTTTGAATTCTAAGTAATTTGAACACATCAATCTCTATTTTAGTTGATAATTTTAAATAACCAGTGGGGTGGGGCTGAAGCTGTGGTGCAGCCGGTTAAAGCCCTGGCCTGCAGCGCTGGCATCCCGTATGGGCGCTGGTTCTAGTGCTGGCTGCTCCTCTTCTGATCCAGCTCTCTGTTATGGCCTGGGAATGCAGTAGAAGATGGCCCAAGTCCTTGGGCCCCTGCACCCACGTGGGAGACCCGGAAGAGGCTCCTGGCTCCTAGCTTCAGGTCGGTGCAACTCTGGCTGTTGTGGTCATCTGGGGAGTGAACCAGCGGATGGAAGACCTCTCTCTCTGTCTCTACCTCTCTCTGTAACTCTGTCTTGCAAAAAAATAAAAATAAATCTTTAAAGAAAATAACCAATGGGGTAAAATTTTCAAAGCCCTTTTGAGGAATAAAGACAAACCATACACTATTGATAATATTTGTATTTGGAAGTAATTATAGTCAAAAATGATAATTGTTAAGAGTATATATTCTAGAATCAGATTGCCTTTTTTAATCCTTATTATACCTTTTGTTTGGTAACTGAATGAGTTTGTTTAACCTCTGTAGTCTTCACCTCTTCTATAAAATGGGTGACTGCTATAAAAGGAAGTCTTATAAATACCTTACCTAGTGCCTAGCAAATATTCACTTTCAGTATCAACAAATATAATTTTATTTTAATTTTATCATCATTCAGTATATATGTAGTGAGAATTTTGATTGACTTTTAAATCATATATAATATATAATTATATAAGTTAATAAGTTATATAACTAATATTTTAAGAATCATTTTGCTCAACTGAAAAAATACGTTCCTATTTATTTCTCTAAGGAGTTTTACTTTTTAATATTTCATATGAAAGTTTATTTTTCTCATAACATATTCATTTATTTCACTTTCATAATGCTAAGTAATTCATAATAAAGTATATTGAATAACTGTGACAACAGAAAAAACTGAGTCTATCAGAATCATGAGCTCTTAATTTTAACATCTGAAGCTTTCTTCATCATATTCAAAGACTTCATATTATAAATCAAATCATAACTGCAAATATCAGTCCTTCTCCCTGCATATACAAAGATTAAAATGTTGAGCTCTTTAATAGCCTGGGCACTTGAAGTGAATGTGAATGTTACCATAGTCATAGTTGATTGGACTATAATGAATGTGTTCAGTTTCATACTTCCTGTCTTTTTGGAAAATGAGGTTTCTTTAAATTAAGGAACCACCCTGTGTACAAATATTTTGAGTGGTCTTTTTTATAGAAATTATGCTTTCTAATTTAGACTATATTAAAATTCAGGAAAGTATACTGTTTTTAAATAATTTTAACTACCATATCAGACATGATTATAGATCATTAACAATTGAAAAGGTTGAATCTTTTAGGTACAGAAAAAAATGTCACATTCATATATAGAAGGCTCTAAAAAACTTACTTAAGCAATCCAGTAGGTCAGAGTAATTCAAATAATTCTCACAGAAAAAATTTTAGATCCATTTGTTTATTTGAAAGATAGAGCAACCAACCTCCGAAACCCCCATCCTCCCAAAAAATGGCCACTATGGCCTGGGCTGGTCCAGGCTGAATCAGGAGCCAGGGATTCTATTCAAGTTTCTCACATGGGTTACAAGGGCCCAAGTCCTGGGGCTGTATTTCACTGCTTCCTGAGATGCATTATTGGGCACTCCAATCTGGGACATCGACATTGAGTCACCACAGCAGTGGCCCCTCACAGCAAGTTAAGTAAATATGTATTTTAGAATATTTCCTGTGTTAAGAATAATTATTTTCATTGATAACCCTTGCCACTTTAAAGAAATTCTTAAGAATAAATCTTTGCACACTTTTAGTTTTGTTACATAGATAAAAAGTGAGAGCAAATGTATATTCACTTGTATGCATTTGACTCCAGTATCACTAAGCTTTACTCCATTTTAGCATTTCATTCTTATCTTACTGCCTCTGTAATATTTAAATTCCAAAAAAGTTCCGTCCCTTGACGGCAGCTTTTTTGGCTTCCAGATTCTTTGACCCTCTCCATTACTTGCTGTCCAGGTTTTCAAGTTGTTCTACTGATCCAGTAAATTGAATGTTCTCCTGTTAGCTTCCTTCTGAAGTCATATCTTTCCAGAACCAGCTTTGTCTAACACTTAAGCTGTCCTGTCTGGGTTATCCTCTTGTCTTTTTGTTTTCCTATACCAAGCCTCCAGATACAGTATCAAACTGCCATGTTTTTGAAGGGTAAAGGGCATTTCTTTAAATTATCTTACTGTGTAACAAACCAACCTAATACTTAGGAGTGTAAAAGAACCCACATGTTTGTATATCTTGTTGCCTAATATCTAATAAGTCAAAAGTCTAAGTAGCTCTTGAATGGGTAGGACTAGAGCAGCAGGAAACCCAGTCTACACATTCCCACTCTGAAGGGAGTGCCAGAAAATTGTCATTTTGAACTGAGCACAGCATCGGTGATAGCGAAGTCCACGCATGAAATTGCAACCGCAAGCTGGCCCTCACAAGGACTTTAATATTTGTATCTAACCATGTTAGCAATCATAGTGAATGAAAATGAATAAGGTACCAGGTGTTCTGGGTAAATTTAAAAAAAAAATAATTTCCCTATTACTTGGGACTGTGTTTATAAAAATAAGTTCTCATAATAAGAATGGCCATTGGCTTATTGCAAGGCATATCCTTCATCTCTTTTCCACCGTGTTTTTATCAGATCCCCCTGCCGTGGAACCGGCGTTCCTGGAGATCCGGCAAGGACAGGACCGAAGTGTCACGATGAGCTGCAGGGTGCTGAGAGCCTATCCAATACGGGTACTGACCTATGAGTGGCGCTTGGGCAATAAGTTATTACGGACGGGTCAGTTTGACTCTCAGGAGTACACGGAGTACCCGGTGAAGAGTCTTTCCAATGAAAACTATGGGGTTTACAACTGTAGCATCATGAATGAAGCTGGAGCTGGGAGATGCAGCTTTCTTGTTACAGGTAAGATCCCAGATTTTTGCTTTTATGTTTTTATTTTTTTAGACCAAGGGACTTTAGGTCTATGTCAATATAAAAATGTAAACATTTCTTAAATCCATGGAGCATACCATGAGCAATTTGGATCTGCAAATTAGACTTTCTGCTTGTTTATTTTCAAAACCAGCCTATTTTAATAGTTAAAATAGTACATGTGCCTCTAGACTACCTAGAAGTTAACTTGAATTCAAATTGAGTCAGTGATAAAGTTGGTTATTTTGAGTATTTTAGTAATAAAGTGAGAACTAAGGATGTTAACTGGTTTCATTTGGATCCCATTATAGGTATTAATAGTTATGTGTTTCTTATGCAAGTCAAGTCTAAAATTATGGTGAAGATATGCCTACTCCTGTTTTCTTAATAGCAGAGAAAGTGATTTTTACTATCCATTCACTTAAGAATTTATTTTCAATGTATGATAACTTTCCATTCTGTTCTTAGTCTGCCATAATTTTAAAAATATTCCGCAGAAAAACAATATGGAGATTCAAGTAGTTCCTGGGAAAAAAGTAAAAGTTTAAGGACAAGTATCTGACCCAGTGTTGCAGACACTAGGATGCCCACGTTCCGTATCAGCGTACCTGGGTTTAAGTCCCGGCTCTACTCCGAAGTCCAGTGTCCTGTTAGTGTGCAGCTTGCAAAGCAACAGATAATGGCTCAAGTGATTGGGTCCCTGTCACCCACGGGAGACCTGGATTGAGTCCCCAGCTTTTGTCTTCAGTCTGATCAAGCCCCCACTATTGTGGGTGGGGAGTGAATCAGCACATGGGCGATCCTGCTTGTCTGTGTGTATGTCTCTGTCTCTCTGCCATCTAAGTAAATAAAAGAGAAAAAGTTAATTTTTAGAGAGAAAGATCAGCTTATTTTGTTGCATACAAATTTGAAAATAGATGAATAGCTTTTTCAAAATACTCATTTCCATTATCTTTTGAAGATCCCTTGTTAACATAGATTTCAAAATTTTTTGCATTAAAATAAGCTCTTTTTATAGCACATTCCATACTATTTGAAGTACCCACATAAATTGTACCTAGCATTTAATAAGTTAGGGAGATATATTCACACTTTCTTATGTTAATATCTTTTAAGTATTCTCTCAATATTAAGCCTTACATATTTATATTATTTTATATTTTATGTACTAAAGTAAATCTGTGCTCTTTTCAAAATAGAGTTTAGCCATATAATAAAAGGAAATACTTCTCATTGTTCTTTTGTCCAAGGTAGAATTACTTGTAATAGTTTCAGTATTTATATTAGTAAGAGAAAAACCTTGAATTTATGTACTCTTCAAAAAGCAGTCATAAAAAATTATCACAGTGTTTCAAGCTGAAGACCTCTTCACTAATAACATTAGTTCTTAGTGATAAATTCTTACTGGTAAGAGAACTCTGAAAATATTAATTGACTGCTTCTTAAAGTGTATTATTAATTAAATGAAATATAACCAGCTAACCAAAGAACATGAAACTGTCCTCTGTTGATTTTTCTTCCTTTTTGTTTGACAGTGCCTTTTATTAAGTTTCAGTTGAATTTGAAGCTTTTATATATATATATACATATATATATACACATATATATATATATATTTAATTTTTGACAGGCAGAGTGGACAGTGAGAGAGAGACAGAGAGAAAGGTCTTCTTTACCATTGGTTCACCATCCAATGGCTGCTGTGGCCGGTGCGCTGCAGCCGGCGCACCGCGCTGATCCCAAGCCAGGAGCCAGGTGTTTCTCCTGGTCTCCCATGCGGGTGCAGGGCCCAAGCACTTGGGCCATCCTCCACTGCCTTCCCAGGCCACAGCAGAGAGCTGGACTGGAAGAGGGGCAACTGGGACAGAATCCAGTGCCCCAACCAGGACTAGAACCAGCTGTGCCAGCGCCGCAGGCAGAGGATTAGCCTATTGATTAACCTTTTGTGTATTTGAAAGAGGAGTAGGGGCAGAGAGAAATAGCATCCTTCCTCCTGTTCAATTTGACAGTGAACAGTGAGGGCTGGGCCAGGTCAAAACCAGGACCCAGAGCCAGGAACCCCTTATATGGTTCTCCTGTGTAACTGGCAGGAACCTAAGTATTTGGATAATAATTCCCTGCCTCCTAAGTGCATTAGCAGAGAGCTGGATCAGAAATAGAAAAGCCAGTACTTGGCCAGCGCCGCGGCTCAATAGGCTAATCCTCCGGCGCTGGCACACTGGGTTCTAGTCCCATTCAGGGCATCAGATTCTGTCCCGGTTGCCCCTCTTCCAGGCCAGCTCTTTGCTGTGGCCAGGGAGTGCAGTGGAGGATGGCCCGAGTGCTTGGGCCCTGCACCCCATGGGAGACCAGGAGAAGCACCTGGCTCCTGGCTTCAGATCAGCATGGTGTGCCGGCTGCAGCGGCCATTGGAGGGTGAACCAACGGTATAGGAAGGCCTTACTCTCTGTCTGTCTCTCTCTCTCACTGTCCACTCTGCCTGTCAAAAATAAAAAATAAATAAATAAATAAAATAAAATAATTTAAAAAAGAAAAGCCAGTACTTGAACCAGCTCTCTGATATGGGATATAGGTGTCCCAAGCAGCGGTTTAACCCACTGCACCACAGCATGGCCCTCAATTTTGATTCTTAAACCATTAACACAAAACTGCTTTCAATTTTTGTTTATATATTATTTATAAAATCTATGGGAATTCTTCAGAGACTATTATTTTTCACATCTGAATGCGAATGAATCACCTCACTTTCATTCATTAATCCCTCCAAACTAAAATACTCCATAAAGTTAACTAAATCTCTTTCCTCAACCTTTTTGGCTTTATACACCATTCTGTGGTAACAGTGTTTTGTTATAGCTAGAAGGTTTCGATCCATGCTGCCTCTGGAAATTTTCAGTTGCTCTCTATTATGTGATCCACATTCTGTTCTTTGAACCAGAAGGCAAGCTGAGACCAGAGGAAACATGGGCTACATTCTTCCAATCAACATACTTGGGGTGCAGCAAGTAGATTTTGATAGCTATCTAAAAGAATAGACCTTTATAGGTTGCACCATAGAGAAAGAGGAAATAGCCCTGTGTATTAATTTCTTTAGAATGTGTATTTTTCAGTCATCAGGTTAACCTCATTGTTTCAAGATCTCCACATACAATATACTGTCGGTTTGAAGAAAAGTAAAAGGTTGAATCCAAAATACAGTATAATTCGGGGAATATATGTACAAGGGACAACTCCCATTGAAATGCTATGATCTGTTTACATGATCGGTAGACAAGATGACTCCAACATCCTGAAACCAGATGAAAGAATCTCTTGGCAGATTTTATTAAATCTTGCACTTGAGGTCAATAAAAATACACCTTTACTGTTTTCTTGAACATTAAGAACCAGGCTGCTGGCAATAAAATGTAGTGTTGATTTATAAAGTATTTCATTATACATGTGTTAAATAGTTCTAATTGATATTCCTCAATATTTAGCAATCAGTATCTAGCTCTAGGCTATTCCAATTATGTTCCCACTAACCAGTTTATCTTTATATATCTTTCCTTTAACAGACTTGTTTCTGAGAATGTTTTATTGAAATATTTATAGATATCAAGAGACTAATATTTATTAGTGGATTGGATGAGGAAATGAGTATTGTGAAAATATTATATATAGCTTTTTTGACTTGTTGCTTAAATATCACGTGATAGTATAGCCATAAATAGTTATTACACTAGGTTTTAGGTCAAAGAAAAAAAGAAAATAGCAATCACCATCTTATATGATGTCCCTAAAGTAAAAGTAAAATGACTTTATAACTTCCAGAAAATATATGCACAGAGTTATATTGACGTAGACCTGTAAAACAGTTAGGAATGTGCTCAATGAAGACAATTTTATATTTGTTTAAATGAAGGAATGGTTTCTCTTTAAATAGATAACAGTGGATATGTATTATATAAATTTTTATTGTGTACCCGTAAATTATAAATGGATAGAAAATAATCAGTATATACTCTCTCAACTAATGGCATTTTTTTGCAATCAGGAAAACACTTAACAACTATTTGCTATGTACTTACTAAGTATAACGTAGTAGATTAGAGACCAGAAACAGAACAATGAGTAATTTCTTCCAAAACCTTGTCCAGTTTTATATTTGCTTAGTCTCTTGAAGCTATAGTTTTATTTTCATTCATGTTGCCTTTCTTGAGCTTCATATTTTCCTCTTGGATATTGGAATAGTCTCTTATCTATCCTCTGAATTTTTAGCCTTTTACTATTTCATGCCATTTTTTATATTGCTTGATTTTATTTTTCTAGATCTATATTTCTAAGTGAGAAATATTGATGCTCCTCATGATCTCTTGGATGATATGCAAATTCCTCATTGTCAGAATTCTTCAGACCATTCATTAGTAATATTCCAAAGAAAATATTCACACTCATATTTCCCTAAATTATATCAATTCTCCAAACTATATTCAGACTGAACTACACTGCCTTCCACCAAATATTATACACTTCAAGACTCTCAGCCTTTGTTCACATGCTTCTTTATTCTGAAATACTAGCCTCTGTTTATATTCTTCTTCTATAGTTATTACTACCTTTATATGACTTTCTGACAGTTATGTTGAATTTTGTTCTTGAGAGAATACAAGCTGTGAAAGCTTACACTTTTGTGATTCACAAAACAATTAGATATGTTAATATTTGTAGAACACTTGAAAGTATCAATAAGTTCCAAGTAACCATGATTTAAACAGGATGGAAAATCATTTCACTTGGGCTAAGTCCTTGATGTATCATTTCATAAACTAAAATGATGGCTTGGTGCTACAAGGCTCTCAGGGATTCAGGCCTCCTATATCTTATTGTTCAAACATCATTAATAAATGGCACATCTCACAGACCTACTTAAGTTCCAACCGTTACTTCCCCAGTTCAGCCTAAAGTAAAAGCATACTCATTCTTTTTGAGGACTCTTCCCAGTAATTTTT